TGGCTGTGGCAAGTGAATGGGAAGGACGGGTGCTGAAGGTGCTTGGCAGCTGGCACCCTGCTCCCCGCGGTGCTCCTGCCGTGCCCCACAGGGTGCCAGCAAGAGGACTGTGCGAGCAAGGAGGGCGGCCCAGCCCCCACTGTGCTCCGCCACTAAGCAGTGGAGGGAAGAATTACTCTGTGGGCAGAATTCCCAGGGGGGCTAGTATGTTGTACAGACTCACACACCGGGTTGGATCCAGGCAGGTGACTGCACGAGTGGAACAGACTGTGATCCAGTAGCATCTCCTGGCTGCATGAACCCTTCCCTCTAAAGTTGCCCATACTTCCTGTTCATGCTTCTTATGAGTGTCCTCCAACCTTCTGGAGCAGATTTTCAGAGTAGAGAGGAGAAAGAAGGGATGTTCCCCCTCCTTCCCAAGGTATTGTAAGCTGGCCTGAGACATCAGTGGTCGACGGGGTAGAAAAGTTTTCAGTAAATAAATACTAGCTGGTGCGATCCAGTTGTAAGTCTAGATCCAACCTAGTTCTAACATCATATGCATTCAAAATGAGTACCTCAAAGAAATTATATGGGACAAATTATATATGATGTGTGTGTGTGTGTAGTATATGTATTGCAAAATATATATATGTTGTACTTTAAAGCTTTTGAAATCAATGTGAGAGACACATGTCAGAGAACCTGTGTTGTGCTCAATAATTAATTCTATCTACAGCTGAGCCAAGTTTTTACTTCTATTAGAGCCTATTCAAATGTGTGGAGAAAATTTAAATGTTTGTAGGTTCATGCGGTATAGCCCTCTCTGGGACCAAACTGCATCACTACCCGTTTGCTTGCAAAAAGGCTCCCAGGTCAAAATCGCCATGTTTTCAGAGCAGAACCTTTCCAATGCTTGTGTATTCCTGAGGCAGTCCTATCTCACGAAAGGACTGTACTATATGCAGGGCTGTAGTTTCACACAGCTCTGGGGATCAGGTTGCATGTTGCTGCCTCCATGTAAGCAGCACTGATGAGAGGTATGAGCAGGCTCAAGGGAAGCCCAAGGGTTGAGCGATACAAATAGCATGATGGTGGGTAGGAGCAGCTCAATGAGGACTGGACTTGGAGTGCTGACTACTTCTTGCAGAGCCAGGGAAAAACCAGGAAGAAGAGGGAATCAAGTAGCCTGGAGAAGGGCATGAAGGATTGCCTGGGACACTGAGCATCGTTGTTGGTGCTGCTGAGTGTCCCACTTGCGTACGAGATGCTGGAGACAAGCAAATTGTGTCCATCGTACTCTACTTGTAAGCTCCCTACGAGGCACTGGCTAGTGGTGAGGGCTGGATTACATGGACTTCCAGTTAGTCCAAGAAAGACACTTCCATGAGCAGCTAATTGGATACCAAGTGGAGAAGCTGGGAAGGAAAGGTCTGTCCCTTTGATTAAAAAGTGCAAACAGCTGTCTGGTACTTGTGCAACAGCTGCTGTGGGCCATCAAACAGCCAGTCTGTCAGAACTTGAGCTTCCTGCAGAGCATGCCCCTAAAGATGGAGGATGGGCCAGTGGTGAGGAGCAGGAATGCCCCTAGGCCAGAACCTAAGGGGTCCTGGAGCAAGGTCTCTTCCTCAAGGGTCTGCGTCTACTCACCAGAATCCTGTCTGTGTGACGGTGCAGAAAGATGGGTCCCCCCGCCCCTGGCAAAATTGCTCTGTGTCTGTGGGCCTGGTGATTTTTCAGGAGGGATTGCAGCTGCAGGGGAAGGGTTAGCCTGCCCCACATGCTGCAGCATATGCCCCCCACCCAACAAAATGCTTTTAAATCAACACTCTATGAATCCTTTGACATTCCATTTCGATCCAGCTGTTGGGCAGTGTATTCATCTATTTTCTGCAAGGAACCCAAGGTGGCTTACATAATCCTCCTCTTGATTTCACTTCACAACAACCCTGTAGTGTAGGTAAGGCTGCATAATGAGCTTTATGGCCAAGCGGGCACTAGAAATCTGATCTCCGGAGTTCCAGCCCAACATTTTAACTAGTGGCACTTGGTGAACGTGTGTGAATTGCCCTTGAGAAACTGTACCAGCTAACGTGTCGTGAGCCGAGCTTCCTCCTTTGAACAATCAGCAGCCACAGACCGTTTTCCTTGCACAATTTCTTTATTGCTGCCAAGTACAAACCACCAGAATGGATCTCTGAGCATGCCGAGAGTGGCTTTTTGGAACCCATTCTAGCATTTACTTCCAGGAACTCTTCCCGTGAATATGCCTGGGCCCCATCCCCTTGGGAAGAGCTTTCTGTAAGCAAGCTTACCTCCTCTCCATGCACTGCTCATTCAATTGGGCCTCCCGTCTCTGTGGACACCTTGGCACAGAGTCAAGAGCAGGGGGCGGTTTGGTCTACATTTAAGAATTTCTAATCTTCAGAGACCCCTCCCACTGGCTGTGCATCTTGGTCGTTCCCAGGGACTGCCTGGCTCAGCAAAGGGTCTGTCCTTGACATAATCACCTCAGCCGGCTGCGTCGCGGAATGCTGGCCTTGCCCATCCTCCCCAGTCTCACTGGAATATGTTTCAGTTTCCAATTCCAAATTGTCTGGAATGCAGCCAGCAGCCCATGGGAATGATTGCCCAAGAACACCATCATTCTCACTTCCGACATAAGAGATTGCCCACTGGGGCTGGAACTCCAAATATTTATTCAGAGCCCTGAATTTTCAAGATTTCTGTCTTGATCACTACCTGTTCTCCATGGGCACTGTCTGAAATAAAGGTGCAGTGCTCTGATGAATCCTTGCATCTCATCCCTCTGGATTTGCTGGCCTTTGGCTCACTGTCCTGCTCCCCCACCCCACCCCAAATCCTTCTGCTGGATTATATTTTCTGAAACCAGATCCCTCTTGTCCATACTATTTTTTTTTACAGACATGGGTATCCTTAGGAGAAAGGCTCTTTTAAAGAGTCCCTCTCTTTCGCTTTAGAGGATATGCAAATTAGCATATGCAAATCAGCACATACACATTTGTATAGTTTTTTTCCTGTGGGCCTGAGCACTGGAGATCTTTGGTACTCTCCCACACATTTCTTCATACCATTGCAACTGACTTATAACTGAAGAGCAGCTACTGATCTGAGATTATCTGCGGCACAGGGCACATTCAGTAGAGAATGCTTTTTATTTAAGCTGATTTGGATGATAAAATGGTTGGCTTTGATTTTTATGAAATTGAAAGAAATTCTAGTGATGGCTAAAGTTTCAGATACAAACCTAGAAAAATGTTATTTGTTTGGTGGGCCTAGTCCCAAATGCATAGTTAACCATCTGCATCCTGCATTCAGACTGCAACTCCCACCATCCTCAGTCAGCAAGGCCATAATATAAACTTGAGCAGGGCAGGGGAGAGGTGTAGTCCAGCACATCTGAAATGCAGCCAACTGGGGGGGAGCTATTTTGCAGGGAAACTACTCTCTGGACCGGTAAAGGAAGCCTTTGGAACAGAATCATAGATACTGATATTCACAGGTCCTCAAAACTGTTCCAAAAATGCCCTCCTCTCCTTTCAGCTTCCCCCTTGTCTCTTTCCCAGATTGCTTCTCCCCACAACCTCCACTTTCACCTCACTGGATAGTCCAGTGTCAGTCCTATAACGAATAGACCTATTGAAATGATTGAGACAGCTTCATTTATCTCAGTGCTTCAACTCCAGAATTAACATTAGCTGTAACTCACTGCTCCCCAGCCTGGCTTCATTCTCCAAATCTTACCACTCTGGCTTGGCATGCTTGGGGCCTTCTAAGTGCCAGCATTTGAGCAGTATCTCTGCATATGAACGGTCAGCTGCCATGTCACCCCACGGAGAAAATGGCACCCTTCACCCACCTTCTGCACAGAAAACCTGAAGCTGGGGCTGGGTGTGTCCTGGCAGGTAACCGGCATGGAGTCAGGAGGATGGAGGAGCAGAGGCAGGGCATAACACAGCAGCCAGACATGCTGCTTCCCGGAGTGGCGTTGACACACCACTTAGCACAGCCAATGTCAACAGGAGACCTGAGGGAACGAGGCAAAACCAAACACATTGGCACTCCTCGGAACAAGAGTCATAAAACCTGCGCAAACCTGAACAAGTGGCACAACAGCCTTTTTATACTGTCTGAATCAATAACTGGGTCTTGCTGAGAGTGTTTGCTGACACATAAGTGACACGCATCACATATTGGTTTGCCAGGTTGATGGCTGAAAGCCCCACACTCCTAATGGAGAGCATTGGCCTGGCCTCCTTCCTCCCAGGGCCTGGTTTCCATGCGCCACTCATTCGCCACCAATCTCTGCTCAAAATCTTTTCAAAACATTACTTCCACAACCGGAAATGTGTGAGTGCATGTAGACACAAGTGCGCCACATGTCAAGCTAGGTGTGTCTGTCATTACTATGCAGAGCAAATATCATATCCCCTGGCTTGGGTCAGGGCGGACTTTGTTCAAACGGAAGAATAGATCCAAATAGCTGACTGGGGCATGCTGGGAGTTGTACAACATTTATCCCTGTCTAAACATGCTGAGGATTGTTCCCCAGGACCCCGTTTTTTGTCTGCTTTTGAAGCTAGCTTTCCTGGAGTTGCTGCCCCCAGATATGTTGGACTACATTTTTTATCATTACCCCAGGCATTGGTCATACCAGTTGGAGAGAGTGGAAGTTGTCGTCCTGTTTGTTGGAAGGGAAGCAGACTGGGAAAGAGTACTGTTAAACTGTGTTCATTGAGTTTCAGGGAGCATAGATAGAATGGCTGCTAGGACATAGTGGTATGCAAAGATTACATACAGATTCTGCAGAAAGGAAAGCCCATTTCTGGTGGGCCCACAAAAGTGTGCAGCTTGTTAGCATATACCTTTGTGTTGCATAATGTATTTTTTCTGTTAGCTGGAAGAAGGCCAAGGTTACGGAAAACACAAAAGTCTCAGCTCTTGTGCAGTGAGCCTACTATACAGACTGTTTAATCAGTGGTTGATCCTGCCCATTTTTGAATCCAAAACATGGAATTATGGTTTGAGTGTACACATCATGTTTTGCTCAGTTATCTCAAATGATCAAAGACATAGTGCTTCATGGAATAAAAAAGCAGAATCTACTCCACAGGTACATTAATCTGAAGCTTCACTTCACTTGACCAACAATCCTTTACAGAGTGCAATTCTGTTTTTGTCTACTGAGAAGGCAGCTGTGTTGTGGGGTTTCCTCCTGGGTGAGTGGATAGAAGACGGCAGCCTCAGCTAAAGAAAAAACACACAATAGGTTCTTTGCAAGGAAGAGCTATTCCAACAGTTAGAAAAAGCAAAAAGAGCTAGTATTTACAATAAACACACACAGAAAATATACAGAGGCACCTGTTTTCAGAGGAGGAGTTGGACATAGGGGGTTGCAGGTGAATTATGATGATCATCATGTTGAATGGGGGTCAGGAGGCTGCACCGCTTCTTGCTACTGACAGTGCCAATGTAGGCTACAGTGCCATTACGCATTCATTAAACTTGGCCCTAACTGGGAAAACGTTCTGTTGACCTTGGCCTGGTTACTTTCTCTTTCTTTCTTAGCACACAACCTAAGTGGAGAATTTAAAATGCAAAGGAGTTTTCACCAGGGTGATCTTCATACCAAACCTGGACTTTACTGTTTCTCTGTATGATGCATTTATTGTGCTTCCATGATTCTGCACCCACAGTAGCTCGTGGGTGCTTTGTGTGATGTTCTCATCCATCAAGTTCCCTCTTCTGCTTTCTCAACTGTTCTGTTTTTGTTTTGGAACAAGGATAGTGAGCTACTGAAGGATTAGCATGCTATAAAATGCTGCAAAATGTTCTGTATGTTTATAAGCCCTGAGTGGCACCTAGTGGTTGTGTAATGGAACATGTAGAAATGCAGATTGTGGGAACCCTGGGAAGAAATATGCCTCAGTCCTGTAAAGAATCTGGAAATACTGCACATTAAAAATAATGCGTGCAACCATATGCTCACTTCCCTTATTGAACTTAGTGGGCCTTACCTTTGCAGAAGCATGCATAGGAATTGCAGTGTTTGACTGTAACCCTGCACATAGTTACCTGGAAGTAACCATGGAACTCAGTGGGGTTATCTCTGAGTAGAGAGGCATTGGGTCATGCTGGTATTTTCTTAAATGTAAGAATTATTGTTTCATTGCAATCTAGTTTTTAGATTCCTCCCTGGATGAAACAAAATCTATCCATTTCCAGTCACCAGTAGTCCCAACTCATACTAGTTCAGGATGCTGGGAATTGTAGTTCAATACATCTGAATGGCAGATATACTGGTTCAGGGTGCTGGGAATTGTAGTTCAATACGCTGATATACTGGTTCAGGATGCTAGGAATTGGAGATCAATACATCTGAATGGCAGATATAATAGATGGGGAAAGTTGTCATAGCCTGTGCTTCTTCAGAGCACAACGCTTGCGTTTACTTGGGTCTGCAGTGGTGAAGCACATGATACCTGCTGGCCCAGCTACAAAGAGGTGCTTGGATAGGTGGCACATCTAACACTGCATTCTAGCAAGCAGCTTCCTAGTAGGTGAAAAGAGAACTGTCTTATCTCCTGTCAGTATTATTTATTTCAACCAAAAAGAGAAGTACTGATGCTGGGTCACAAGTCAAACACTTCCCATTGTCAAAAAGCATTTGAGACAGTAAAGCTGCTGCACTCATGTATGATGCAGCTGCCGTGTACCCTGGGAAACTCTGGATACGGAGAGAGGGCTTCCACCTTCCATAAATGCAGGCAAGGTTGCCACCTGGCTGATTTTATACCAGCCCATCCTTTAAACAAACAAAGCAGCCAAACCAATTAGACCATGTTCCCAAGTGATGCTTAATCCCCCCCTCCCTAGTATTTCCCATATATGTATTTATTTAAGACCTGCATTGGACTTGCATTCAAGTATCTGAAAAACTGTATTCTCCCATGTGCACCAGCCTGTATACTGCAACTGGCAATCAAATCTCCATTATGGTTGCTCCTGCCATCAAAGATTATGTGGATGGCTACCTTGAGCAGGGCCTCTTCAGTTTTGGTGCCCTGATTGTGGAATGCTTTTCCCAAGCATATTCACCTGATAGCTGTACTCTTCTCTTCTAGACACCACAGGAAACCTGTTTTGCTCATTTAAGGTGTGTATCCTATATACCAGTAGCCTCCGGTAGCCTCTGGGTGCATTGGACTACAAGTTCCCCCATAGGAGGATGCTGAGGGTTGTAGTGCAACCCAGCTGGAGGGCACCCGTTTGAAAAAGGGTGATATACACACTCAGTAGTAACCACTGAATTCCTTTCGCCTGACTTCTGGATATACATGTAAATGATTGCACTTTACAGCTGTTAATTCTAGGGAGCTAGGCATCTGTTCAGTGATTTGGGTTGTTTTTGTTTTAATTTGCATTTCTGGTATTTTAATGTAGGCTTATTCCTAGTTATATATTTTATTTTTTGTTGAACTTCAGTTTGATGGGAAATAAGGTTAGGTCAGGAATGGTGCACCTAGTGATACTGGAGAAATCAGCAGCCCATTCAAATGAGCTCCAATTTATGTGACTTTGACCTGTGGATTCCACAGCAGACTGTCTTTTCCCAAGTCATGCAGATTCTACAGAGTTTTGAACCAGATTTTCACTTTGAGGAAAGGTTCACAAACACACTAATCCACAATAATGCAAGTAGAACAAAAGTTTGGTTTAAACACACTTGCACACACATTTATACTTCCATCAAAAGAATTCATGCCGGGAACAAAAGAAGCTTGACAATCCAGGATTTAATGAATCTAAACATCCCTACGGGTTTCTCCACTCACTCACCTTTCTCTCATGCTGAGCTATGCAGCCCTGCTCTCATCTTCAATCAGTACTCTCTCTGCATGGGGAAAGATAAGATATGATATCAAGGAAGTTTACCAGGTCTTGCTATCTCAAAGTTAGAAATCATAAGCATCCCCACCACCTCTAAAAGCAAACCTGGGTGGTGCAGGCCAACAGAAACTAACATGGAGCCACTATGAAACTAGAGGAAGATATCAGCAGACTCCACAGCTTGCAGAAATTAAAGGAAAAAAGAAGAATAACCCAAAGGGGCAAAAGGAAAAAATGTGAAAAACAAAATGAAAGCTGAGCATGCTAAATAGCCATGGAATGTTAAATGTCAGTTGGAAAGAGAAAACTGGTTGAGTGGGAATAATGGAGTCCCCTACTTGGAGGGAATGACTGTCTTGAATCAGGAAGAGTCCTATGAGGAAGGGGAATATAGGGCAACATTTTGTTGCAGGTCCTAATTGTGGAGGTGGTGAAGGGACACTGGATAAGGTAGCATTTATTAGTTCAACATGTTCAAGAGTGATTCTTCACATTCTTAACTCTACTAGATCCTCAGATTATTTTACATTAATGCATCGGCTTTTAGAATTGATCCTTACATGACTAGCTTCCTGGCAGCCACATGCAGCTCCCAAACTAAGGCTTGGCCACTACTGTGTGTTCCTTCCTGGACCATGCAATTGTCTTTGAAATCAAATGTAAGCCTGGGATCAGCTTTAATGTTTTCCTTTTCCCAGAAAAGAGGCATGTGATGAAAGCCCTTTACCAACAACAGCTTATTCAGTGATGCCTTGCCTTGCTGCCGTCATCTCCAGCTCACTGGAACTGATTCAGCAAAAGACAAACTACCCTATGCTGTCTTGTCTACAAAGGTTGTCCTTACATATAAAAACTGCTCCTTCAGCCCAGCAACACACATCCTGTGCAAGAAAAGAGTTGTATCAGTCAAGCTCTGTTCTTTCTCCAGCTGGGTTCCATCCAGTCAAGAAGAGCTGCCAGGTAGAAATCACAACCATGTTTTGGCCCCAGAAGGCAAGAAAGATCAGCAGAGGACATAGCTCCCCAGTCGACCAAGATACAGAAGGGCAACCGGCCCTTTTAGGCTTTGCCTTGTGCAGTTTGCTGTCCTAGATAGCCACCTAGTGGTAAAGCGATCTCTGAGTGTTGTTTTGTGCAAGCTTACAAACACAGTTCAACCAAAGCCTTCCACCTTGAAAGAAACAATATCACATCCATGTCAGTTCTCCAACACAGTGGATCAAGTACACACAACTAATAATTGTTTGGAGTTGTGGTTTGACTTGGAGCTGATCGACATGTTACAGCTGCTATGAGGAAGCAATCCAAAAAGGTAGCCTTGTGGCAAGTGCTTCCCGTATGCACACACACACATCCTGACACATGCACAAACCCTTCCCATGGGTCAGTGTCGCAGCAGTGGCTGACTTTCCTCACCAGCAGCTGTGTGATGCATGGCTACTGTATCTCCTGGTAAGGGTGTGTCACACTGTGGCTGGCGTCAGGGCAGGGAGACGGGGCGTAATGCTCAAAGGAACAATAGCATTCTGTTTAGTGCATCACAATACTAAGCCACTTTGCTGGATTGCTGCAAGTTCGAATGCCATGGCAGGGCGATCAGCAAACAGCCCTCCAGAAGTTTTGGCCAGCGAACTAAGGGAGCTATAAGCCAAAATGTTTGCAGGGACCCCTCTGCTGCAGAAGTGTTATGCATTTATTTTGCTGAATACATTCCTGATTAGCCACACTCCACACACACACGCGCGCGCGCGCGCGCGCGATATGCAGGAACATGTGCATATTCAGGGGTAGCTCTCATATGGAAGAGTGGCCAAAGGGGCACAGGGCAGTCATGGGACACCATCATTCAAGGAGACCTCTAGGCTACCTTATGAAACCTGTTCCTGCATACAGCAGAACTCCTTAAAGCCTGTAACGCCACTGTACGGACTCCAGCTTCCAATCAAATCTCATTGTGACCGGCATTAAGGGGATTAGTTTTGCCCTGCAGTCCACACTCTGACTAGCTGCTCTTTTGCTTAGTCAGACTGAACATGGCTCCTTGCTCACTACCTCTGTGCTGCTGGCCGGGCAGGGGTCCCCATCTGAGGGTGGCCATCCTCTAGCTCTTTTCCGGGCAACCAGCAGGTACACCTGGAACATGAATGGCTATGGTTTGCTTCAGGAAACATCAGGTACTGGGTCCTAGGACGTTAATTTTGGCCATCAGCCTGTTTGGGGAGGAAAAAAGTCTTTGTGCTTTTGAGTTTTGCTGAAGTTTAATCAAGTGAGTTGAATAAATGGCTGCCTTACACTTAACTGAAGCAGACTGTGAAGCCACTAAATGCTGGCTGCATTTGAAATAAGTAAAATCCTTTGCTGGTTAGAATCTGTATCTGGTTTTAAATTAGTTCTCCTCCATCTGTATGAACAACATTCATCCATGCACCAAGATATTTGTGAGAAGGACTCCAAGGCACTTTTAGTGAAGGGTTAAGGGGGAAAAATCCTTCAGCAACCCTGCCCCCTCCCCCCCAAAAAAGTCCAACCCCCCCAAACTGGGAGGTCAGCACCCAGTCTCAGTGGCTTTTGAAAACATATTAACCACTCTAATTTCCTTGAAGAAAGAGCCATGCATGAGGCTATTTTGTGAGGTTAAGCACTATGGTTTTCCAACCTGATTAGCCAGGAAGTTTTCTGTGTTTGTTTATTGTCTGCTAATTTCTGGGCAAATATTCTCTGAAACCAGCATATCACAATAATCCCATGTTTGGCCTTCAGATTCTTCCCAATGTTTAAGGTTCCTGGAACTGTGGGGAAGCAGCATTTCATTTCCTCCCCCTGCCACCCTTGCTCTGTCCTTCAGAACCCCCGCTCAGTGAAAGCAGCATCCGATCCTTGTCCTAAAAGGGCGATCCTATGCATAATTAGACAGGAAAAAGTCCTATGGCTCTCAGCATGCTCCAGTCATGCACAGGATTGCACCTTAAGCTACCATTGTTTTTAACTGCAGAATTCTTGACTTTTTAGCAAACCTCCATGAATTGCAACAAGGGACAAAACTACTGGACATCTTCTGTTAGGTTACAGTCCAAGGGTAGCTACTAGACCAGGACTTTAATGAAAAGCTGCCAAGATAATTGATGAGTCTCTGGGACAAGATGTCTTCCCTGTCCAGACATCCCAAGCCTAATCTCCACCCCCAAACCAGTGTTGCTATCTGATTAATTAAGCAGCACCCTTTGGTCCGTGACTTCTTGTTAATGTCTCACTGCCTTTCAGCCACACAGCAGAGCACAATCTAAACTAAGAGCCAGTGTGGTGTAGTGGTTAAGAGCATGGGACTGGGACTCAGACAATCTGGGTTCTAGTCCCTGCTCAGCCATGGAGCCAACTGGGTGACTTTGGGCCAGTCATAGACTCTCAGCCCAACCTACCTCACAGGGTTGTTGTTGTGGGGATAAGATGGAGAAAGAGATGTAAGCTGCCTTGAGCCCTTTGTAGGAAAAAGGCAGGATATAAATAAATAAATAAATAAATAAATACAATAAATAAACTGCAGGAAACATCCGTAGCTTAATCAAGTGATGGTCTTCTGTTGAGATCCAGGATCCATATCCCCTGTGTCTGTACCTTGAATGTGACTATGAGGACTCCATGGTCACACTGGCTCAGTAAGTGCCAAACCTATGGAGCATGAGGATTTGATTCATTATTAACATGCTATCTACTGAAGAAGCCAGGGTCTAACACATCTCCAACACATCTCTACTCATTTAGAATAATTATATGGTATAGCCCTTTCTGGATTGTGCCACTTCAGGCTACATTTTTAAAGGTTCTCTTGTGTTAGGGTTTATTAAGGAAAGTTTCTTGCACTTAGGGCACAATCCTGTACATTATCTAGAAAAAGAAAGTCCCATCACTGCCAGCACTCCCAAGGCAGCATGACTGGCCTGGACATACCTAAACATGCACAGGATTGCACCCTTAGGAAATCGACGCATTAGGGGAATATATTCTAACCTAGCCTGATGTGCTGGTGTTTGATGTACATGGAAGGCTTCTTTTACATGATGAAGAATTCAGAAATAGGCAGCTCACTGCCTGCCACTGAAATAGTATCATCTGAACAGGGTATACCATGCTATTAGACTAATGTACACTTCATATCCTAGAATGGACAATCCCTAAGTTGTTTCACTCTCCCTCTCTTTCTTGGAATTGCAATACTTGTTGACCTCATACAACCTAAATTTAAATCTTGGCCCTCTTTTGACTGTTATAGCATAGCCCTACATTGAGTTACAGGACTGTAAAATTTATAACAAGCCTTGATTTCCTTCCTGTCGTATGGTAATGTGCCTGGTATCTGAAAGAACAGGGAGGAATGATCCAATAGCTGGGGGGATAACTTGGACCAGAAGATCATGTGATCATTCTAAAGTGTGATCCTATTCAGATTCTGGATGGGCTTGGCCTGCATAGGTTCCCAGATGAGATGTGTTTCAACTCCTTTGGGGTGGGGTGGCCACGGATGGCTATTCTTTGCCTACCATTCTCTGCTAAAAAATCTCTGATAGTTTGGAATGGCCAAATGCTGTCGAATAGGTCCCAAATGTCAAAAGGTCATTTCAGAATTCATTTCAGTAAGTTGTTCTTTTTCTGTCTTCTTACCCGCATTTACCCAAAATTGTGCTAGGAGGTAGGTTGCTGTTATTGCTGTATACCTCGTGCTTCTGTTCAACTTTAATTCCATCCATATCTCCCCACCTCAACTGTCACCCCCAATACGCCATGGTTCCATTGCCTTCAACATTTCATAGATCCTGGAAAGCACTGAGCGTAGGAACTTGTGAGGACATAAAGATGAGGAAGTGTGTGGGGAAGTGGGTTAACATTTTTTTGTTTAATTTACAGACTAAGACATTTGTGCATCCAGGGGTGGTTCCCTGAGTATACAGAAGCCAACTAAATGGCATCCAATAATCTGTGTATCCACGGTGTACATGGATGATGAACACA